AATGTAACCACTCATTTAATAACATATGAAAGTTATATAAAAAAAAAGATATAAAAATGTGATATAAAAAAATTGTTTTTACAACATCGGTTTTTTTTTTTTTTTGTTGTACTATTGGGATAATCTTTTTGTCCCATCATTTTATACAACTTTCATATGTTATTAAATGAGTGGTTACATTTAATATTATGAGTCCCACATGAATTAAAAGAATCAATCATTTTAATAACATATTAAGTTATACAAAAAAGTGAGACAAAAAAATTGTTCCAATAGTATCTCCCTTTTTTTAAAAAAATTCTTTTCTCATCTTTTGTACATGTCATCATCCACGTCATCATCCATGATGTCTTTTTTAACCATGTCAACAAAAAAATGGAGCCCATTAACAGAATCCGTTAGCTACATCAATGCACATCCGCTTAATCCTTTATCAGTAAATTTACAAAAGTCATATCCTTTATTAAAAACTTTTGAAAAATGATAAAACCTTAATTAATTATATAAAAAAAAGGATTATACCCTCAATTAGAAAATTTTAGAAATGTTGTATCGTGATGCTTACTAAATCTCTTACTAGTGCATCAAATGGAGGGTAAATTGATTCTTTCTCTTCGTGAGGAAAAAGTTAAAATAAATTTGGAAAACATTATTGGTAAATTGATTCCTTCCTTTTGTTTTGAGAAACCTTTTTTCCGTAAATTGATTCTTATGAATTTGAAATTGATTCTTTTGCCAACTAATTTAAATCAACTTTCTTCTATATTAATTTTCTTTTTTAAACAGAAGAGAATCTTATCATATCTTCCTTTACTTTATATAAAAATAGTTAAAATCTTTCATAAATTTCAAATAAATACCTGAGCAGCCTTAAAAAATCTTCAATAAATCTAAAATACCCAAATAAATACCTAATTGGTTGTTTTGTCCTAAAAATTTCTCTATGTAGATATAATATAAATTATAACACATATAGCATAGTTAACAATGCTAGGGCTATTAGTTTTGCTATAAAGTTGTTCTATATAAATTGAAGAAGAGATGAGGAAAAAGGAGTGTAAGAAGGGACCGTGAAGCAAAGGTGAGCAATATCGTGTGCGTCGGACTATAGATCCATGGGGAAACAAGATGAAAGGGACAACAATATAAAAAATTGTACTAATCTAATTAAATAAGTGAAATGACCTAGGTTGAAACTTGTTATTGATCTAACAACTCTTCAGACTAAGGTCCACAAACGCTCAAAAGCTTAAACTCAAGTTTTTAGTAGTGGTTTGTCTCTATAATTATATATCAGAGTTACTAACAATTTCCCATCAATGTGGGATTCAAAGTGTTACAATCTCTTCTAACAACTAGGTCATAAGTACAATCAAAACGAGACCATAAGTACAATTAGAATGAGGCCATAAGTACAATCAGAACAAGGCCCACCATACCACAAGCATAAGATCCACCTCGAATAATGTGAGGTCCACACTACCACTGGTAGTGATGGTCAACATGGGCGCCATAAATACAATTAGAATGAGGCCCACCAAACCACAAGCATAGGATCCACCTCAAGTAATGTGGGATGTGACTTCTTTAATACCAATTGAAAAAACCCAAGTCAAAACTCGCCATTGGTCTAACAACTCTTCAAGTTAAGGTCCATAGACACTCAAAAATCTAAACTCAAGTTGTTAGTAGTGGTTTGTCTCCACAACTATATACCAAAGTCACTCACAATTCGCCATCGATGTTGGATTCGAGGTGTTACAATAAGAGCTAAATAATCAAGTTGTAGAAGAGACTTGGAGTTTCATGAAAGCCATCAAACTTATGGCTTGAGGAAATGAGGCATAATTGGTAAAGAGAATAGAGGCAATAGAAATTTGAGATAGGATCAAGAAAGGGAAACAAGTAAAGGAATAAACTAGGACTACCATGGGGGGAGCCAAGCAAATACAATGATTTTAGTCTCCTTAAATGTTAGGGGTTTAGGAAGGGTTGGGAAAAGGAAGGAGATTTGGGAAAAGGTGGAGTTTGTTTTACTAAAGGAGATAACAATGAAGACAATGTATAGAAGGTTATGTAGAGGAATTTAGGGAGTTGATAATTATAAATGGGTATTCAAACCTACAAATGGGATGTTTGGAGGTATATACTATGTATATGAAATAGAGATATCTTTAAAATAAATACAACTTTTTATAGTATTGGGTTTATGGGTGTTTTTGGCTTTTAGGTAAAAGATTTAGTTCCATGCTATATGGTTAATGTGTATTCAGCATATGATTTGGCTAATCAAAGAGCCATGTGGGAAGAATAGAAGAACTTAATCAACAGTGTAGAAAGAAACTCGCGTATTGGGGGAGATTTTAACATAGTTAGATTAGCTATGGAAAGGAAAGGAAGCATAAGGGTGATGAATGAAAAAAGAGGTTTGGAAGCTTTATTGTGGAGATAGAATTAATTGACTTGCCTTTGATTGGCAGGAGATTTACTTGGTACTAGCCTAATGGAACAACTATGAGTTGTCTAGACCACTTGTTACTTTCACAAGAGTGGATGCTAAATTAGGAGAATATAAAGCAATGGGGGTTACAAAGATCAATCTTTGATCACTACCTTATATTTTTAAGGAATGAGGTGCATGACTGGGGTCCTAAACCCTTTAGATAAGGTGTTATGGGAGTCCATGATTGTGGAAGAGAGGTGTAGTTTTAAACTTAAGGAGAAATTAAAGTTAACCAAAGAAAAAAAAAAAGCTTTGAACTAGTGGGGTAGGGAGAATTTTGAGGATATGGATAAGAAAATCACAAATTTGAAAGAGGAGATTGATAGAATAGATAATAAAGGGGAAGTTGGCATTCTCTTGGAAGTAGAAATTGAGGAAAGGAGAAGTTGCTTTCTAAAATTGTGGAAATTAGCTTAAAGCAAAGAGAGCATGGCTAGACAAAAGTTGAGAAAGATGTGAATTATAGGAGGAGATGAAAACACTCAATACTTTCACAGTAGCATGAAAGATAGATAGAGAAGAAATAAGATAAACTCACTAGTAATAAAAGAGGAGTTACTTACATAGATAGAAGAAGTGAAGGATAATGTGGCTAATTATTTTCAAGAGCTATTTAATGCTAAAAGCTGGAAAAGGTAGACCTTAGACGGGATTGAGTTCAAACAGATTTCATTTGAAGAAAAACAAATGCTCATAGCTCCTTTTAATGAAGATGAGATGGAGGATGCTATTAGGGCATGTGATAGTGACAAGGCCCCAAGGCTTGATGGGTTTCATCAAAGTCTAAGGAGGTATTTCAGCAACATCTCTAGTGTGGTGGATCAACAAAGGAAAGACAACGATGGGAGATAATATGGTTTGTTGTTGTGTTGTCCTATGGCTATGTAGGAATGGAGTGCTATCCAATGGAGAAACTATTGAGGAAAAGAATTTGTTTGAGAAGTTGTAGATGAGATCATACTATTGGATAAGGTGCAAAACAAATTTCTATTATTTCTTTTTCACTTATTGGAGGACTAAACCAACGAGAGGCCTGAAGACTTTATAGATATTTGCAAAAGTTGAATGGTGACAATATTCTATATATGGTTATCAATGGTTAGTTGATGATATGGAGGATTAGGAGATCTAGAGGATGACAATTATGTATATTGATCTCCTCATTTGTACTAATGGCATGTTGTAGAAGGGCAGGAGTACCCCCTACTCCATTAATAACATGAGTTTTATTTGTTCCAAAAAAAAGGACATTAATAATCAAGGGGTTAGAGACCTGTTTGTATTTTATTATAACAACTAAAAACAAATA